ATTGAATACCAACCACTGTCACGTAAGTTTTCGATACTATTTAAATTTGTATTTGACAATTTTAAATTTAAAGCCACCGAATTAATTTCTGCATTGAATAAAACCACCGTCCAAGTTTTTGATATCTAAATTTAGATTTGACAATTTTAAATTTAAAGGTACGAAATTAATTTTTACATTGAATAAAACCACCGTCTAAATTCTGGATATTTTCTTTTGGATTCGATAGTTTTAAATTTAAAGGCACTGAATTTATTTTTACATTGAATACTAACCACTGTCACGTAGATTTTCGATGATATTTAAATTTGGATTTGACAGTTTAAATATATAAAGGTACGGAATTAATGTTTAAATTGAATACAACCACCATCTAAGTTTTGGATATCTAAATTTAGATTTGACAATTTTTAATTTCAAGCCACCGAATTTATTTCTACATTAAATACCAACAACCGTCTAAGTTTAGAACATTTCAATTTGGATTCGATAGTCTTAAATATATAAGCCCACCGAATTAAATTCTACATTGAATACCAACCAACGTCACATAGGTTTTTGGATGACTATTTTTCGGACGTGTCGAGTGACAACGAACAGGAATGGAAGACGAGTATAGAAGGACGAGTTGATCTCTCGATTGAGAGATTCCTATTAAACGATTTTCAGGGTGCATACAACAAGTGTGACGTCGATGGGGCTTACGAGTGATCGCAAATAATTGCCTGAATTATTTCAACTTAGTCCAGTGGCCATCAATGGGGTGACGTCGATTGAATGATCTCCAAGTAATTTTGCCTCGCGTTCAAGAGGAATCTGTCGATCCTCGATTTAGCGATCGCAATTACGATTCACCCTATTCTATCTCTATCTCTCTCTCTCTTTCTCTTTCTCTCTTTCATTCTCATTTATAACACGTCAAGGTTCCTCGATCGATATGGTAGATATCAGGTAATTATAATTAAGCATTATCGGGCAAACCGATCAATCGGATTGATCGATTCTTTTTTTTTAATTAAATTTCTTTCTTATTTTTGTGTTTTGTTACGTTTTAGTAATACATATACAGGGTGTCCCGCATAAATCTAATCACGATTTTTCAAGTACTCTCGATAAACTTGATGGGA